ACATTTAATCAACTTAGATGAAAGCGACTACAATTGAAAAATCGAGCAATTGAAAGATCTCAATGATGAGCTGGATACTTGTAACTTGTGAAACCTAAACTACCTTTCGAGTCCTGAATTGACTAGGACACATCAATATTGACAAATAAATGGTTAAAAAAAGGTATTGTTAAGAACTAAGTTGCCTCAGGATAGAAAAGGTTGGCTTTCAATTGGTAAATAGTTAAATGTGGCTTCAATCAAAATGATTTATTTCTCTTCATGCAAAATAAAGTTTCAACTGGAAATATATCATGCAAATACTATTAGTTGAAATGTTATCGATGCTTATAAATCAAATAAAATAAATGTAGCAACAATTAAGCTACTCGAAGGTAAAAAGAGCTACTATTGATTGATTAACAGCGAGATGATTAACTGTTATTGCTACAATTTGTTCAAATTGTCTTCATTCACCATCAAAGGGAAATATAAAAACAATAAAATTCAAATAAAGTTTAATCTTGAACCAAATTAAGTGATTATTTTGTTTCATTTCTAATTAATCAATTCTGGTTTGAATCGTGACCAGATTATACACAAAGTCAACTATCCATTCATATCTATTAATATACAAAAACCAATTTACCAACAAGAGTTGGGCAATTAATCTACATAAATGTATTAATTGTTGAGTGTAGTTGTATTGACCAAAACTTTCATCATTAACACACATACATTTTCACTATAATCCTAATCTACTGCACAATTGATTTGATGAACAATTTTTCTACAGTCCGTTCAATTTAAACCCAAAACATGTAAAACTGGACACAAGAAAGAGACTCAAATGACCAGTCACCTTATTCTGTCATGTTACAAGGTAACAATTTATCTCACTTGTAATCATTCAGCTTGAGATCAGACCACAATTATAATTTATTAATGAACATACAAATTGTTGTACTTAACTTACAACAATCATCGTTGAAATTGATTAATTAATCAGCTATTCTAACTGTATTTGATCACGAATTTGTTTGATTATCAATCCGATTGTTTTTAACTACTAATATAAAACTAAAATTTTTTTTGTCAGTTTAATTGATTACCTAATATGTGATAATCTCAATTTCCAATCAAAGAATAAGAAAATGTTTCAAACGGTTACCAATCAACTTTTTCCTCAATATTTCCCTCATGGAAACTCATGTTTAATGAACCAGTAAAGCTGCCAAAGTAGCAAAAGTTTTCTGAAAAGTTCTAACCATTTTTTTCTTCTTTCCTCAATCGACTGAATCATAAGTTCTATTCTCAAATAATAAGCTGAGAAATTCACAGATTGACACATTAAGAGGGATAAAGAGGTAGGCGAAAGATGAAGATAATGATGATAAAGATAAATAACTGTACTAGACACTGTGTTTATACTTTGATGATTCTTATAAATCCTCCAATAATAATATCAAATGATGCAAACATGATAAATCTTTTCACACCTTTTGACATATTACTTTTTTTCTGGTGAACCCAATTTTTCATTGTTACCATGTTGATAGTAACCATGACTCTCATCTTGATAACATTGGTGATATTTGTTTACTTCAGGGGGATAAATCTACAACTATTATCGTTATCAACTTACACGGATTAAACTTTGTTTAAAAACTTAGTGATAATTTCTGATTTTTATCCGTTTCTTTTAACAGATCAATTTGAGATTATCTCATTCACCATGAGCATTTTCAGTTGTCCTATTTCCTATTTTACATAATGAATGTTCATTCTGAGAAAAGTCAACGTGATCGAAATCTAAAATTGAATACATTTGTAAATTTTCATCGAACTGAGATTATCTTTGGGTTGGGTCTATCGCTATTCTTGATTTACTTTGATTAATTTATTGGTTTATCAACTAATCTTCAATGATTTACAACTGAACCAATGATGGTTCATAATAATATGATAATAGACAATAATATTATGTATGTGATAAAACAACAAAATCAGTTTTATCATCAAGTCCAGCATCAACATTGAGTTTATCTCATTCTGTATTTCTCCTCTTCATCTTCCTTATCCATCATCATCTTTTTACTTGGTACTATTGGAGTGAATTAATGTCTAGCTCTTGAGATTTGAAGGTGAAGCTATTCTGATAATCAGAATTAGATATATCAATGATAATGAGAAAACGGAGGATGCTGATTACGATCAACTGGAAATTTTGTGATTACAGGGATAAGATGTTTCCAACCGGGTGTATGGGTTAGAGCAAAAGAGTGTAAACTCAATTCTAATTCAATACAAGATTAAATTCAATATGAGATTTAGAATCAACAGCTTAATAGGAAAGATTCATGGTGATAATAATTAGAAATCAAGATGACAACTCGTTAACAGTCAGACTATGAATCAAAAGGAAGAATAAAAAATAAATGAATTCACTGAGACTCTGATAATGATTCTTACTGATTTTCATCAACAATTTGAATCAAGGATAAAGATTCAATCCATTCAATAGAAACATAAACATTGTTATCTTGATTTAATCATGACCCAAAGGTGATCGAAAGTACATCATTTTAATCATCATTCGACTTAATAAGAAAAATATCTCTTTGACTTGATCGTATTAAAATGAAAGAAAAAGGATCTTTGCCTGCGGATATTTAAAGCTGAATTAAATTCACATTTCTGTATGAAAAAGACAGAGTTCAGTCTCAATAATTTTCGAAGACAGCGATAAAGTGGACAACCGCATAGATCGGCAATCAAGTTAATCGCTTGTAACTGTATATACAAAGTCGGTCGATAATCGGTAAACTCGAAATTTAATTATAAAGGCTGAGTAAGTTGTGTACAAATTGAATTTAGTAAACATAAATAAAGTTTCGACTTAGTTTGAATTGCTATGAATGATTAATATTAAGAAGCAAAATCAAATGATTGACATCAATTTATGAATCTACAAAGGCTTAAAAGATTAACAATTGGCAACAGTTTAACAAACGTCGATTACCAAATACTTTGAGATGCGCTGAAATTGAACTGTTTCAGCTCAAGAAGTTATTAATAACAGCTAAAGTAACGTTATTATTAAAAAGTACAATCAGATTCATATTGATACAAAGTTCGTCAAGCTGAGTATCAACATCGAGCATTTTAACATTAAATAAGTAATTATGAGATTAATGTTGAATAAAATATGTATTAATAAGTTACATTATTTTTAAGAAAAGGTGAAATGAAAATTCAAGCTTGCTACTTAAACAGTAGTCGTATGATGATAATTCAGACAATATATCAAGATAATGAAACCAAACACAAAACGATGGTTAAGTTAACTTTGGTTTTCGTTAATTAACTTGATGATAACTTTAATTCTGGGCTGTTAATTAAGCCTTAAAGAGGTACAAGTAACAATCAAGCTTAAACAAAAAGTACAGTTGATTCCCAGTTGATTGTGTTGGGAATCAACTGGAATAAATTGGGAATGAAAATTTATATTACATATGAAAAAATAAGATAATATAAACATTGGATACGATGATATGGTGATGATAATAAAAGATAATTATAATAAATCCTCTTGATAATAAACAATCAAAAGGAGAAAATGATTAAATTGAAACTGAGTCAATATTTAATTAAATAATCTCATTTCAACAATGTTAATTAGTTAATTGTTGACGATAAGAGGAACCAGATAAAAAGTTTCTCTAAAAATGCAAACTTTTTAACTCTCTCCAATCATTAGTTAATGATCACTTTTTCCTATTCAAATCAACACTAATTGTTACATTGAATGAAATCCAAACTTAATAACGATAATCAAAATAATCTTGATTATCGCCATCATCATGAAGATGATCATGTTTGCGACTGTTTAGAATTAGCTAAAGCTATTTGATTGTTTTTTTTCTATTTCTTAGTCTGCCGTATTTCTCACTGTTAATCAATAATTCATTTGGGAATCGACGAAAACTCATACCGAATATTAATTTAACATGGGATATCCTTGGTTATTTTCTTTAAGAAAAAGTTCAATTCTCAGAGTTTTACTTTTTAAAGGGCAAAAGTTGATCTATTCAAAGCAATGGCTCGAATTGAAACTTTCAGAGTAACATGATAATGATTAGCAACACGAATCAATTTAATTGTTCATATTAGCAGAATGTATTTTTCACCTGAATTGATTGTTTCTTTTTCTTCAATGCTTTGGGAATTTTTTTATTCTTTTTCTCTTTAGTTTTTCTCTCTCGTTAATAACTAATACAATTTTCTGATAGATTATTTAAGGGGAAACAGTGCAACTTGAATTTCGCGTTTACATGATTAATGTAATTTGATTTATCTCTCTAATTAATCCTAACCAATAAGTGAACCTTTTAATCTAAATTCACTTTTTTCTCAAGCCAAATGATTGTTCATCGTTAATCATTTATTTAGATTAGAGTGAATTAGTTTCTCACTAAATTGTTTACAAATTAAATAACTAGCTCACTGATTGTGATAAACAGTATCTTTTATATACAAAAATGTAGATACAAAAAATATTTAACATCAATGACAAACGTTGATATTAATCATGATAATAATATGAATATGAAACCTAATCAACTATTATTATGATCACTTCCTCATTTAATCAATAAACTTGATAACAATATAAATATTTCAATGGGAAAATAACAAAGTTATCAAACCGTAGATCTAATTTTAAATACTGGCAATGAATCTAATTATTGATATAATTATTAATTGTAACAGTTTTAATCAAACCCCATTTGAAATAGTCGAGCGATTGATCATTTCAGAGAAATATTTATGAGGTAAGATCGACAAAGGAAATTTAGATTCAAAAGGAAATAACTACCAACACTTGAAGGGTTAAGATTATCATGTGGAAAAATTTAGAACATTTTATCAACTAATGTTCTAATCTGTGAATCGACTGGCACTCAAAATCCACGGTACTAGTTGACCGATGGAAAATTTGCAAGAAAAGGTGGACTCACCTTTGTAGAAAGGCCGCTTAATCGGAGCTGTTGGAATCGTTGGCATTCGTCCGTTTTTCAGATCATCTTCTTGCTGTCTCCTTCGAGCGACCTGTTTAGCCATGACCTTTTGCCTCTCCTCCGTTATCAAGCAATCAGCACAGACACAATCTTTAAACTTGCAAAACCTCTTATGACCTGTGGTCAAGAAAACATTCAATTAATAACAATTTTTCAGCATAATCCCAATGAGTTGGTTAGAATAGGAATCAATGGAAACACTCAGTTCATGTTCATCTTGAAACAAAACCATGAAAAATTGAGTGCGTCTCAAATATATTATCACATGATGATAATGAATAATGTTAATGAATTGATGCCATTGATTAGTCCAAGTATCGATTAAGATTCTGTTTCAAGTAAACATGAACAGTGTCTCTCATTTATGAAACATGTAACTGAGGTTGTCATGTTCGGATGTTGATCTTTGTGATAATTTTATACCTTTAAGATCTGATTGAACATTATGGTTACGACATCGAGCACATTGAGGTTTCCTGGTTCTTTGATCAACATTATTAAGTGTCGACGAGTCAACATCAACTTTATCATTAACAATTGAAACTGGTGAACTGTCACCACTCCCACAGGAACCACAATCTTTAATTGAATCATGTCCTGAATTACCTTCAACAGACAGATTGAGTCTGCCACAGACACTTTTATCAACCATTGATTCAACATTGAAAAGATGACGTTGATGTGGATGTTGAAGTAAATGGTGATGAGACTCCAAATTATCATGAAGTGAATTATCATTCTGATTACCACCACCACCACCACCAACACCAACACCTCCACCACCACCACCACCACCGCCTCCTCCTTTACTGGAACTTGTCTCCTTAAGATAATTGTGAATCTTTACTTTATATTTCATGGCTTGATTGTTGATGTGATTAAGATTATCTCCAACCTCCCACCTCCACACGTTCCAATGGTACACTTTTGCAATCTTGGGTAACAACACCTTCTTTTGGATAAATAAACACCGAGAAGATGGAGACTCTTTTTGATGGACAGAACCAACTGGGTTGATGGTGAACACCAGAGAAAGAGGAAAATTATTGTTAATCAATTGAATCAAGAAAAAACATTCTAGTGCAAAAATAATGAAAAAAGTGTAGACTCACCTTTTCAGTTTATTTATATTGTTGATTAATGTTAATTGTGGTTGAATGTTGATGATAATATTGATGCCATCACTTGTATCTACGAGCAGTTGAATGTACAAAATGAATAAAAAGACTCGAGACTGTTCCGTGTTCACTGTGTCATGGTAGCCATGGAGATTCGATTCGGGAAAGAGAGAGCGCAAGACAAGAACAAAACTAAGAAGAAGAGTAAGTTGATGATGAGAGGGATGATGAAAGAAGACCAAGAAGATAAAGAAAAATTCGAATGAAAAAGGAAGAAAAAGGAGAAAAAAACTAGACTCGGAGAATGATAGAATGAGTGAGAGAGAGAGAAGAAAAAACTAGAAAGAAAAAAACTTCGACGAACAAGAGGAAGACAGAGAATTCGAAAGAGAAAAAGAGAAAGGGTTGGTTCTTGTGTGTCTGTTACTATGGGATTAATAGTCAAGGCCTTTGTTTACTTCCGTATTTCCTCGATCACTTTCATCCCTCTTTTCATCCTCTCCCCTTCTCTCTCACTCTCTCACTCTCTCTCTCTCTCCTTATCATTCTCTCTTTTTGTAAGCTTCTCATCATCGTTATCATCATATTAATTTTATCTTTAACTGTTCCCTGTTTACGCTTGCTCATTTCTTTTCAGGGCCAAGGTCATTTTTATCCTTTTTTTACTTTGTATTTCATTTCGTTTCCAAAACCAACGCAACGAAATTCATACAAACGTTTGTTTCATCTCAAATCGTTATAAAGGTTAAAACAACAATGCCTTTGACTCATTATCATGATGACTTGACCTTCTAATTGTGAGCATAGTGATAAAAATACTGATAGTTAATTGTTATCATTTGATTGTTAAATCTCTCGTTTTTTTATTGTAATAGATAAAATTGTGGCAAACAATTTAAGAGAGAGAGTTACAATTGCTTCGAGATATTGTTTAAATTGTTTGAGAGGAAAAAAAAGAAAAACCAATCGAATTGGTTCTCATTTGGTTTATCGAGTGTAATTTGATTGTAACTCGTATGATTACCTGTTTAAAGTTTTCTAGAAAAGTTGTCATGATAAGAGAAAGAGAGAAGAATAAAAGTTTCATAGATTCCATGTTAATGAAAAGCTGAACTTGTTCATAATTTGCTCACTTATCTTCCTCAAGCACTTCACGTGCCTTTCGATTTCTCTTCCACTTTTCATCTATTAATACTTGCCCACTTCTCTTCATCTCCTCCCTAACCCTTTCGTACCTTTCTCTTCATTATTAGCTCACATTGTTTTCTTTTTTCTTCCTCATCTCACCTTGCCAATCTCACTCATTTTCTATCTCTCTTTAGTCTTTCCTTTTTTCTCTTTCTCTTTCTCTTTCTCATCATCTTATGTCATTCTACGTCTAGTAATTCAACTTTTTTTCCATTTATCTTCCTGATTCAATTGACAATCAACACAGAATCAAAGCCAAAACTTGATTTATATCTTGATAGCTTAATCAATGCGCAACAATTAAAGAGCCAATCGAATGTCTCAACAGCAGAACATAATGATTTATTCAATCGTTGCCAGTTCACACCTTAAATTATATACTAAATGATTGGAATTAAATTCTCCTTTTAATTATCTTTACCTTAATGATTGCGAATAATTCAATCAATTTGAAATTATTAAGAAACAAGTCAAAGCTATTTTTATATTACACTTCCCGCTTTATACATTTTAATTTATTACTTATTATAACAATTTAACTCAATGAAACAAAATAATGATTGTTAGATTTGCATTAACATGAATTATTGAAATTACTTTTGATTATAACTAATCATCAATTGTTAATTGTCAATTTTAAGTTTAAACCTTTGCAATGATCACACTTTGTTACAATCAATCAATCGATCGATCGTTTATCTTACGTTAATTGTGTAGTTAAATGACAATCACAGTTGCTACCTATTTAAACGGTTTACTCCTCTGTCAATTTAAACTGAACACTGAATCATTATTATTACCTGATATTGTAGTTGAACATTTAAATTGCCCTTTTACTTTTCTTATACTACGATTTTGTACTAATCAATGGTTATTGCAATAAATTGATTGTAATAATAAAACTTATACCATTTGATTAACTTTTACATTCATGTTGATCTTGAACTTTCCTTTTGTTTCAAAATAAACGCTGATACCAACAGTAATACAACCGTGGAAAGTTAATTAGTCAAATTAATCGCTGATTAATGAGATATTTTGAGCTTTCGAGCAAAGACTTTGACGATGCACCAAGAGATGTCTCTTGGTGCCTTCAGTTGTATGCTCCATCTGGTTTCATATCGAGTTACTATTTGAATGATCGAAAATGTTTAAAACTTTTTCAAAGCAAAAGTTTCTAATTATTATCGTGGTTATGGACTTGGGAAACTGATGTTTCGCTCGAAAAATCGAAACAAATGAAATTGATAACATGAGGTTAGGATTTCACTGAGGTGAAATGATTTTGGTTTCATAAAGATTTTCAAAGATGAACAATGAAACATAGAAAATTTTATATTTCTTTTATGACAATTAATAAATTATTACAAAGATGCACCAGATAAATTGATAATAAAGTGATTCAAATTGTATTAATTGAGACAGAATAATCAGCTGATTTTGTAATCAATTATTAAATCTATCAGGTGTCTCCATCTGTTGTCTGGTTGGGTTTGTGACTTAATTGCGATGAGGTGAAGCGATTAACCTTTTCAACCAATCAATTGTGATAAATTCTGATGGTCGCCTGAGGAGGCGATGGAGTGAATAATGGCGATCTGGAAAGGTCAAAGTTCACCTTACCTGCATTACCATCGTGGGTATTTTGCCTTTTCAATCCTTGGTATTGATAAGAAAAAACTTTTTTGGGTTTACTGTTGAAATTTTGGTTATGATGATGAGAAATTTGCTGAGAATTTTGGAAACAATTTGGACAGTTGATCTTCACAAGTTTACTTGGACCTTTTTCAATTGTCGAATTGGTGAATCGAGGCGGAATCATCAGGTAAGACATTGAAACTGTTTTGGCAGCTTTATCGAAGTACATTCGACTATATTGATTTCCGGCCATTCGGTATAATTTCCGACGTTGAAACATTGGGTCGATTGGCGAAGGTCTAATTACTTGATAAGGGTTAACGAATTTATGATTTGGTGAAACATTCTCACTACAAAAATATAAGAAAATAAGTAAATTATTTTGCTAATTGAACATTTCAAGTTTTTCTGTTCTTTAAAGAGTCTAAATTGTTGACAACTTATCGGTAACGTTTATCCTAATCAAAGTGATTAAATAAAATAGAAAAACCTTGAAAACTGTTATCCGGTTTTCATGTTGGCTGAGTAATTTGATTATCAGGGTTAAATTTATATGAAGAAAAATCAAACATTAGTCCACCAAGAGTCTAAACCAATGGATTTAGTTAAAGTTAATCGTACTCACTTGATTATAATTGACTCATCTTGATGATTAACTATTGACATTTCGGGAAATTTAACTTTAATTTGACCAGTTTCTGGTCCGTGTCTCGTTTGCATTGACATTTTCATCGGTGAGAATCGAAATCTTGGTGTCATGTATGATGCTGGTGGTGAATCAACAGAAAAGTTGATAGCACAATTAACTGTCCCAATTAATAATCCAACAATCAATACAATTACAATGAGTCTTGGAAGTGGAACCTGAACAATAAACAAAACGCAGAAAATTACCACGAAAGAAAACAATTTAATTCAGGCTCGGGTCACAATTTACCTTCATTTTTCAATTGATTTTCTATTGTCTTGAAAACACACCAACGGTTAAGGAAAAGAATAAGAATCCCGATGGATTGGAACCATAATTCTGCAATTAAGATGAGCAAAAATTAAATGATTTGATTACTTCCCACCAATAAGTTTAAACTAATTTCTGACTATTTAACATTTAACATAAACTGTTAACTAATCACAATTGATTGAACAAAATTTTACTTGTATTACTGTTGGAACAAGATTGTTAATCATAATTAGTTCTCGAAATCGTTTATCTTTCTCTCCTTCTCTTTTCGTACCTCTTTAGCCCAATTTATGTTGATTGTTGTTCCCTTGATATGTTAATTGTCACTGATAAAGTTATCGATTCAATTTATCATTAACTAAGAAACAATTGATCTTTCAACCAGTTTGTGTTACGCTCGTGTTATTATTGGTTTTTGGTGATACGAATTAAGCTTTCGCATAATATTTGGGACATTCAAAAGTTCAGTCAAAAAGTTAATTGTGATGCTTAAAAAGTTTCTCAATTGTCTACAGAAATCTCCTATTGATTTCATTTTCTATTTTTGATAATTAAAAGCATAGAAATTGTTGACTAAATCTTGGTTTCCATTTCCAAGTACCCATTGAGTACATTTACTGACCAGTGCTGATGTTCATGTCAACTGAGTCTGTTCATCAGTTAATCTTGAACCGTTTCATTTAATTTACAATTCTTGATCTCATGATTAAACGAATTCACCTAAAATAGAAGCTTGATTTTATTCATGCAATTGATCAGATTACAGATTTACCATGAAAAAGTTGCATCGAGTTAATTATCGGCGATAACTATTTGTGAGATTAAATCAGACAACATGATCACAAAACCTGAACAACGATTGTTTGTAAACTAATCAATTAATCCATCAGATTTCGAGAGATTAAAGTTTTGCCCTTGGAACCTTTTGAAAGATTGTCTATCTATCCGATTTTGAGTCTCTCTCCATCTGTTGTCAAATGGAAGCAACAATTTGGATCTTCAATCAGATATCAGTCGATACTTGGGTTTCGATAGTATCGGTTTAGTGTTTTGTGTACGAATGAAAATCTTGTGTTTTTGTATCTTATTAACTGATTGACTGGTTCACTGGACATCGACTATGGACATTTCCCCAAGTTCTACACCGACACCTTCTCGCAAGTCGCGTCGCCGGTCGAATCTTTTCCCTCAGTTCACCCACAACAAGAATAAAGCTCTAGAAGAGAAGATGAAAAATGGCGAACTTGGTATTGGCCGTGAAATCCCAGTTAAACAAGGTTTTCTCTACAAGAAGAGTAAAAAGCCTTTGAACAAGGATTGGAAAAAGAAATGGGTCACAATTAGAGATGGATACCTGACTTATCATTCGACCCTCCAGGATTACCAAAGTGAAGCTCAAGGTAAAAACATTCCCCTTAAACACACAACAGTCAAAATCCCAGGACAGAAACCGAGAGGGTCAAGACCAACACAAGGTAGTAGTGGACCTTCCAGTTTAATTGAATCTACCTCCAGTTATTTAGAAAGTGATCTCAGTAGTCTTCATATATGTTCAGGTAATCAATTGATTCTCACCCATTTTGAGACGAGTCTAATCATGTTGTGTTTCTTTTATTGCTCTTAATTAGCTATAGAAAGTGATAAGCTTTCAGGTACCAATTCCTCTTTCGGAAAGGAATCAACTCATCACAAGAAACGTCATCGTCGAAGTAAAAGCAACAATAAGCAAAACGGTGAAGGTGTTGATGATTCTTATGGTTATGAATTCATCATTGTTTCTCTTGACAATAAACAATGGCATTTCGAAGCATCAAGTTTCGATGAACGAGAAGAATGGGTGACAAAGATCGAGGAAGAGATTTTGAACAGTCTACAGGAAATGGAAAGTGACAAATCTAAATACCGTATTAGTGGTATTTCTGATCGAGCTTCTGTACAAACGATACGTGAGGTTGCCGGAAATTCCCATTGCGTTGATTGCAATAAACCAAGTATGAAGATGATTATTTTACTCTTTTGCTTCGCCAGCAAATAGCTAATCATTTTTACCTTTTGTATCTCTCATCGTTTTTACCATTTTTCTCTCGGTTTAGATCCTGATTGGACTAGTTTCAATTTGGGTGCATTGATATGTATCGAATGCTCTGGAATTCATCGTAATTTAGGAACGCACATATCCCGTGTTCGCTCATTGGATTTAGATGATTGGCCGTGAGTAATTATCTTTTTTATGGATTATCCCTTGTTTTCACAATTTAGCTCATTAAGATGGTTCCTTTGTTGATCAAAAGGTTTCGATATTTTCTCAGAAAACAATCAAATGAATTGTTTTCTTATAGTCAATGGCTCATAGGGAATTGATTATCATTCTTTTATTTTTATATTCATCTTTAGTTTAGTAAAACATGAGTTTCGAGTAGCTTGATTGTGGAAATTAATTTAATTAACACAATCTCCCTTTTTGAACGAGGTGATAGGATCATTGATTTATGAAAATTTCATCTTCAATCGCCTTATGTAACATTCAATAGATTGATTTGGAATCAATCTATTGAATCAATTTAATAATATTGAACCAAGAACAAATAAGTCCATTGAGTGATTTCTTAATTAACTTGACCAACAATTTAACTCTCGTCATGTAAATTTATCCCATTTAACGTTAGTTATTGAAACATTTCAACTCAAGATTTTGATTTTCAAATTAAAGTTGACCAATTTTAAGCCTTGGGACTCAGACGAGAATATCAAATTATTATCTCATTGAACTGTGATATTTTTCGTCTAATCAAATTGAGTTGATTGAATTAATGAATAGAATATTCAAGCAGATTAACTATTAGCCTAATAAGCTTGTTGTCCTCTTACCTGCAAGATTATCTTTTTGTTTCAAGTTTTAAAAATGGAACCTTTTTATCTCAATTTCTGATCAAATAAAATCAATATTTACTTTTCTTCATTCGCCCTCAGGCCTGGACATGTTAGTGTAATGAAATCCTTAGGAAATTCCATAACTAATAGTATTTACGAACATAACATTGGAGGTTTAACCAAGCCAACTGCTTCGTCTTCGAGAGATGAGAAAGAAAGATGGATTCGCAGTAAATACGAAAAGAAAGAGTTTCTTGCTCCATTAGACTCACCTGATAGCATCAAGCAACAACTTTTATACTATATCTCTAACAGCAATGTACCGAGTGTCGCTAAAGTTTTGGCTCATTTACCATCTCCAGATCAAGTAAACTCGCCAATTCAACCATCCGATGGTAAATATCCAATTCACATCGCTGCAACTATTGGATCTCTTGCAATTGTACAATTACTTATCTGGGTAAGTTGTGTAATAATATTGAATCATTGACAAACGATTGAATTGATGAAACTAACCAAGGCTCTCGTGTTTATCATTATTAATAAACTGTTTTCATTTTGTTCTAGCACAATGCTAAAGCAGATGCGATTGACCGTTATGGACAGACAGCTTTATATTATGCCCGATTGAATGGGCATCAAGACATTGCCGATCTTCTCATACAGCATGGTGGCTACTCCACATCACGAAATACTATGAACGGATCGCACATTAAGAGACGTCCAAGGCTCTCGGCTATGGGATCATCAGCGCTAGATGTGTTCGATACACTTCCTGCCAGTATTATTTGACTTTCGTGTACATAATATGCCTCTTGAAAGAGAGTCTTTTCATCTCCCCCGTTATCTTCCAAAACTCCTGTCCATTTTCCAGTTTTCTCAACTTTCTCGTTATCTTTGTACATACACAGAGCTATAATATATACACACACACACACATTTAAAAGAAGAGGCATTTTGGTTATGCACTCTTTTAAGATTTAGATTATCATTCAACAATTAGATTATTTCCTTTTTATCTGAACAGACACACACACACACACACCACCACCAACCCTTCTTTGTGTGTTGAAATATGATTAAAGAGAACCAGGGAATCTTTTTTAGAGTCATGTAAATATAGTAGATTAGAATTGTTGTTCTGCGATCTCATCCTGAGAAGAGCGAAAGGTTTTTCATTTCAAACAAAAAAGTCCATCAACTAAAATAGGAACAAAACAAAAACAGCAATCGAAACATTCCGAAGGTTTATTGACGACAAATTAGTTAATTGATCTGTTGATCTGTCAAAAATAATGACAATTACAATTCATCTTTACCTCTATCACATTAATTTTTTCACTTCTCTTCGTTTTCATCAGATGATCATCAAATCACATCATAATCAACACTCCAGCTTAATTGTTTCACTAATTGTTGAGTATTCGTTGTAAATTTAACAAACATTTTTTTATCTCATTCCACCTCCGATGTTGGAATACTTTTTGTTAATTATCGTCTATTGATTATAATTATTATTTATTGATTAATTTGATTATGAAGGAACAAAAGATGAAGATGAAAAAATTTAGATTTACTGCAAGGCAACTATTACTATTTGATCCACTTAATTATATTCAAATCAAATTACAAACAAAAAAATGTACCAAAACTAATTACACCAAAGAAATGGGTCTCATTCAAATTAATTAATTAATGATCTGTTGAAAACATCAAACAATTAAACCAAGATTACATTCGACTTAATTTATAAATTCTGTAACTTATTATTATTATTAATAATATCTCAGCGCCCAAAGACTGGCTATAAACCATATACATTAATTAAATATCGTTCTTATTTAATTGTAGTTGTTTCACTTTCCTACTGATTGATTCATCTGCTCAATGAAACAGATTAACCAGTAAAGCAACTTTGATTTGATGAAGGCAGTTAACTTTCACTCGATAGATGAATTTGCATAAAAAATCATTTTATTGTTTTATTCATTGCAATAAACGTATTATAAAATGTGCAATTTAGCTGATTCAGTTTGATATCAATGATTAATCAGGTTGAAGTTTCTGATTGTTGCTTTACTTGGGTCAAGATTATCATTAGAATTGATTATGGTGTATTGAGTGAGACTACATTTTTAATCTACATATACATGTATAGCTGTAATAGTGAACGAAAAGATCACCTACTGAACTGAGAGTCAATAATTTACAACAATTGTATTGATACATACAGTAAATTCTCGCTTGTTGCATAAAATGTTCTGTAAGTTCACAGTTAACTCTCAATAAACTATTCACCACCTTGTCTTCTCAAGACTCCAAGAGCTCCATGTTGGAAATGTTACATCGCTGGAAGACCAACACAATTCCATTGGTATGATCACTGTCCTTCGCTGCTGATCAAGAAGATCAAAGTACCAATGATGACCAAGCTGATACCCCTACTAATCAAGTCCATCAAACTGGTGATGTGACTGGTTATATTCAAATTGACTGAATTATGCTGATAATTCCTCCGTTTAATCATGAGGGTGGGGATGTAATGTAAAGTCAACTTTTGAAAGAGAAACCAAAGGATAGAAACTCTTTCTCATCTCTTTATTTTATTTCTTTTCTCTTCGTTTTCTTACTTTTTCTTACTTTTGAAATTAATTTCCTCTTTCTCATCCTACTAATTATTGACTAAAAGTCACTGTCATTGTTGATTTTGATTGTAATAATAATCAATCGGTTTTGGATTTGATCTTTGATCAGAGATGATTCTGATTCTAGAAATTGAATAATTCTTATTATTCTAATGATAATAAAGATTAAGTCCTGGTCAAATTAATATTTGATTTAATTGTTTCCTTTTCAGAATTCAGAATCTCTTTGGTTATATTCCCATGGAAGTGAATTAAATTTGATGGTCATATCAACAATTATTAACCTTAATTATTACCTTAATTTACTTAATTAATCAAAATCATTTCATTTAATCATCAACATCATCAATTTACTGGAATTCAAATTTTCCCATTGAGTTAACACAGAGACTCATCATAATCACCCAACTTTTGCTTAATCTTTGATTAGAATTATTGTAAATGAAATAATATTTAACCTACTTGATCAGAGTTTAAACATTTAGGGTATGTCACAAAATCGACTTTCGTAAAACTTAAAATAAGGTCACAATTCTGATAGAACACATCAAAAAACAATGTTTTGTCCAATCAAAACTTCTCTAAAATGTCCCGTTCGGCCACAATTGCCGTTCTCGAAATATCATCGAAAAACAGTTTAAGTTTCGACGGCAATTGTGACCTTATTTTAAGTTTTACGAAAGTCGATTTTGGGTGATACATACCCCTTTAATATAAAAAGAATTGTAATTTAAATAGTAAATTGTAACAATTAAGGTGACTAATTGTAAAATCCTCAATTAGTAAATCAGTAAATTAGTTAATTAGTTAACTACAATATTAATCACAATTAAACAATAATGATTAATAAGCAAGTTAAATTAAAGGATTAATATGAATGACAATTTAGTAATTGATAATGGATTCTAAATCTTAATGAAACTAAATTAAATGATTAAATGTTGAATTAAATAAGACGCAATTGATTGATTGTTCAACAAAATGATCCATGATTTTCAACAAGAATAATCAAACTTATATCAGTTTTAAGAGCACCAAAAATATGACCGGTCAATATACAGAAACAATTAGTTAATTGTATTCACTCAGAGTAATTAACTGAAAACATTGAGTTTTCAGTTAGTTAGATGTATAATCTTTGTAACATTCTATGTTTATAACAAAAATTATTTTCGCGGAAATATCTGTGTCGAAAGTTACAGTTAGATGAAATTGTATTGAAGTCTATGGGTAAATAAGAAGTTTTATAGTAACTCAATGAGTTGTTTCAGACCTATCATTTTGACATGTGGTATCATGCATATGAGAGGTATTCACGGATAAAAGTTGAGATTATATGTACATAACAAGTGTACTTTTAGGCGGTGTAAAATAAATTTTACCATATAACATAGGAAATGCTTATTAGATTCACACAAGATTTTGTATGTGAGATACTCAATGTCAAATATAAAGGTCAAGGACATTTCAAGGTCAAACTAAATAAAATTATTTTTGCATCGTTTTCCCAATTCTTAAGACACATGATGATGTGAGTGGCCGTTCATCGCGATCCACTTCAAATGGCTCTTGCTCGGATTCATTAATAAAATCATCAGAGTCAGAGGATAAATTTATCACAATATTCGTCTCTTATTTTCCACTGGGTCCTTGATCAAATCTATCTTCGGAACATGACAGGAGTTTTCTAGGAGAAGAAGCAAGTGGTGAAGAGTACCTATTGAAGTTATCTTTGTTTACGGAATTTATTCGAGTGACATCTTGCATTTGAAAACCATCTATTTCATTCAAATGAGATTTATCTGGGTCAATCTCTCGACAAAGATGTCGATAAAACTTAAGATAAATTAGTGAGGAAGTCGTGATAGGAAGACAAAGAATGTCGAATAGCTGGAGCTGCAATAGAAAAAATAAATATTTTAGTAAAGTACAATAGATGAATTAAATGCAGAACTCACGATGTTTTCATTCGATACAATTTTCATGGTTTCATAAATGGATAAGAGTCTTATCAGCAGACCGAAAGAGACTTGAAACAATAGTTTGAAGCACAGAGAAACCTGAAAGCTATGAATTAATTGTGCAACCTTGAGAAGGTTTCAATGAATAAGGTGTGTTTAGAAACAGTAGTTTCAAATTATCAGACACCAAACACTAATTCCATTCGGGAAAATGGTCACTGATCATAAACTGTAGCAATTTATTGTGAAAAATGAAATTTCAAATTTTAAAATCAAATCCAAAAAACTGATACCACATGAGAAAAAGAACAAAATTTCTGAAACGTTTTCTTATTTTTCACGGCTGGACTTCGGATTAGGTCCGCACGTTTAGAGACCTGATATTTTTTGTACATATAGCTCATGTCAAACTACATATTATGTGCGAGTGTGGAATTGAGGAAAGATCTAGTTCCTGAGATACAGGGCTTCAAAGTTGGATTTTGCCATAGAGCTCTATGGGTAAAAATGAAGTTTTCCTGTATACATACTAATTCTTTTTACCTCTTGATTTTTGTATATGTTATACCTTATGTTATGAAGTATTATCATGAAAAAAATTAAGACTCTAGCTACCACGGATGAGTACTTATAGTGTGTTCTTTATGAGACTTTATTCGTCTTTTACTATAATTAATGAACCACTACATATAGAAGTACTAGATTCAGTTAAGCATCAAGTCAAGGTCACACAATACAAAAAATTTCAGGTCTCTAAACGTGCGGACCTAATCCGAAGTCTTACCTTTTTCACTTTTATTTCTTTGGTTTCTATTGCAATGATCACTTTTCATTTACTAAACAAGAATGAGAGGTGAAAACTGATTAGAATTATATTCGATTATTCGATTAGGATTAGAATCCTCTCTGGTTATTTAGGCTTGAGGACTATTCTACCTTTTAGGTTAATGAGCCATAACACTTTACTCTTCCAAAGAATTTCTAGTTTAGTGTTGTTCCGCTGATCTAGTTCGTAACCTAGAGACCAAATAGAAAAGAGGAGAAAACAAACAGATGCGTAAAGAGAAGATAGAAACTTATCGAAAGATGGCATTTGTTTCTTTTCTTTTCTTTTCCTTTCTTTTTTCCTTTTAAAAGTTGATTTTATTTCTAGTTGTGAACTTGAGTCTTCTTTTTATTTGGTGTTTTCCTGTTGCTACTCAATTCCCAGGATTGAAACTTTCTGGGTGTAAAAAACTCGATCTCGACCCTTTGAGGTGGTTGATTGAAACTTTCTGGGTGAAAAAGAATCAATCTCGACCCTTTACTATAGTTAATTATAACTTTCTGGGTGGAAAAGAATCAATCTCGACCCTTTTCAATAGTTAATTGAAACTTTCTGGGTGTAAAAAACTCAATCTCGACCCTTTACTATAGTTAATTGATACTTTCTGGGTGGAAAAGAATCAATCTCGACCCTTTTCTATGGTTAATTGAAACTTTCAAAAACTCAATCTCGACCCTTTGAGGTGGTTGATTGAAACTTTCTGGGTGAAAAGAATCAATCTCGACCCTTTTCAATAGTTAATTGGAACTTTCTGGGTGTAAAAAAGAATCAATCTCGACCCTTTACTATAGTTAATTGAAACTTTCTGGGTGGAAAAGAATCAATCTCGACCCTTTACTATAGTTAATTGAAACTTTCTGGGTGAAAAGAATCAATCTCGACCCTTTACTATAGTTAATTAAAACTTTCTGGGTGGAAAGAATCAATCTCGACCCTTTTCTATGGTTAATTGAAACTTTCTGTAAAAACTCAATCTCTACCCTTTTCTATGGTTAATTGAAACTTTCTGGGTGTAAAAACTCGATCTCGACCCTTTGAGGTGGCTATAATGGCAATAAGTTTTTGTAAATTGAATACTTTTTTACACAATTTCCGGAATCAATGTTGTAATATTTTGATGAAAAGACAGAGAATAACAATGTAACTACATCATTATCATCATCTTCGAGTAAAATGACGGTCAAATGACCTTGTTTCTACCTGGTACTGGTCATTATTATGTGTCCCTGATAACCTCACATACAAGTCCGTTTCTTTCACACAACTATCTTTATCATTTCAAATACTTTGAGCTACTTTTCTTTGGAACGAAATTATCTCGTCACAACAACAGAACAACAAAAAAACAGTAAAAATTTTTCTCGTTGAAAAGAAGAAAAAATTTTATTAAAAATATATAAATAAAAAATAAATATAATAAATAAAAATTATCTAATTCGGTTTCCAACCTTTTCATCGTTTTTACAATGTCCTAATGTTTTTGCCTCTTCGAGTACTCCTCGAAGGTTAAATAAATTTTGACTTGTTTTATTTATTATTTTTTGATGATTATTACTACAATTAAATTTGATTGTAATCATCATCATTTCATTGACACCTTTTTATTTGAATCGCCGCCAGGTAAGATTAATAAGTAAATAGAGATGATAACAATTTAATCCCATTTTGTATTGTGTTGAAATAGTAATAAATGATTAACAAATATATTGGAAGCAAAGAAACCAAAAGTTTTGTATATTAATCATGATTAACTTTGTTTAATTGTATTAATTTTAGGATTGACTGATCATGATCAATTTGTTATCATATTAATCCAACTTTAATAGTGAAAATCAGTTAAACTCTTATGAAATATTATCTTCATCTTATTGATTACTGAACATGATAATAAATAACATAATAACAGCCTGAATAGTTATACACATAAAAGCAATTTATTAATAACAAGATTAATTAACGGTTTCCATTTGAAACAAATCAGCGCATAGAGAGCGGGTAAAAAAGTTTAATTAGTTAAATTGTCAATCCGATGAGTCCCTCAACAAAATTGATTTGTTTTTAATTAATAATCAGTGGTAAAGTTAATTTACTTAAATTTATGTACAGTGATTTATACACTACCAGTAATCAATTAAATTAAAGAAAACTGAATTATCATGATAATTGATTGTTGGGCGGTTGAACAAGGGAAAAGATTCTGACCAAATGATGTCCAGTTCTGATGGAAAAAGATTTTGCCATGAAAGCAACAAGATTAACATAAATTGTGAAATAATGTGAATCCTTTTCTGTACAAATCTAATTGTTAATCTTTTCCGTTGTTGATCAACAGTAATTACAATCAACAATAATTTTCTGATTATTAATCATCACCAATATCTTTCAGCTACTGTTTAAAATGTTATCATCAAGATGGCCGAAACAATCTAATCAACAATCAAGTTAATCAATTTTTACGACAATTAAGTTTATAATTAGGTTTTGGCATCAAGTTTATGTTTCTTTGGTTATAAAATTATCACTATTTGTGTGTATATCCAATGTATTGAGATCCTGATTAATTGGAATGCAATTAAGACCATTACAATTATTTCGGTCAAACAATTAATAAATTGTTCCTCGATTATAATTCCCATTGAAACGTTGAGCTGATGGTTGTTGTTGTTGTTGGAAAATTAACATTGGTTGTCGTTCAACATAAGTTGCATAATTAGCAGCACTGATTGGAATTGCTATTGATTGTAATGGTGATTAGATTAATTGTTTTACCAGTTAATTTTTTCTCGTCCGTTGCTTCATGAAATCTCAAAAATGTATTGGAATTGATTGTCCCCTGGGCACAAGGTAATTGTCCAGTTAACGACATGTTTGGCCAAGATGCTTCAGAAGCATAACCAGAATCTGATGTTGTTTTAGTTACTGTCAAGTGATTAGATTTTGATTAGTGTAACGTAAAAAGTTACTTGATGAGTGATAAATGAATTAAATGATACCGTGTAGATAACTTTAACTAAAACAATTTAACTTTATTGTCCAATAGTTGATTAAATGATTGTGATGAATTACACAGAATATTGGAATGGGTTAACTTGATTAAAAGGGTGATGACAAAGTGAAATCTATTAGAATGGTTAACTTGAATGTTATGATGATTCTAATTGAAGTGGAGTTTCACTGTGTAGATAATCTTGTTTTATACAAGATTATCGGGAGTCACAAACGATTCGTGAGTCGGATATTTAGTCATCTTTGTCGGTTAGTAGAAAATAATAATTGTGGTTAATAATTATGGTCCAAATATAGTAATAGTCATATTTGGAAGAATACATTAATTATGAAAGGAAGTATCCAATTAAGGTTTAATTAGTTATTGGTTATTGAAGATTATAAACGGATATATCCTTAGAGAGATTATAGTCGGATATGAATGATGGGACTAAAATTTACGTTACATGTCCCCCGACTAGAAGTTGAAACAGTCCCTTGTTTCAGTTACTGTTCTTACTGAGTCGTGGATCCTTATGAATTTTAGTTTCAGAGGATGTTGATCGCCAATTTGATGAAGATGAACTGTCACATGTTGGACTACGAACTGCGAACTTTCGTTCACGTTTAAGTTTTTGGCAATTTTGTGGAATATGACCGGGTTCATTGCAGAAGTAACATATAAGCTTTCGTTCTGTTGGCTCTTTCGATTGAAGCCTAGAGAGATGACGAGCGTTTTCAACTAGTGTACTCGCTATATCCAAGATGATATCGATGGTAACGTATCCAGATGTTCCATTTTCTTGTTGTGACTTCATAATTTTATGACAAATTTCGTCTGGTGAAGTTAAGAAGGGTGATTTTGGCTTGTTTAACAGCTCCTTCTTTTTATCTTGGTTGTAGATGTTTGGAGTAAAGTCTTTGGCCAATCTTTCTTTAGCTTCCAATTGTGAGGAAGTTGTCATTTCCAGAATATTCTTCTTTGAATAGAAGTTTTACCCAGTTAGGAATTCAGAAAATTTGATCAGTCGATCTTGATCTGACCAGCCAATAATAGTTGTAATTTGTTGTAATCACTTAGCCAATCTTTAACTGAAGGTTCGAATCCATCAAACAATGGGACGTGCACATTAACATTTATCATTTTGCTGAGACTCATGATGAAGTTGGTAAGAGATGATCAACTAATATAAACTAATTGGTGATAATCACTGGGTTAAGATGGATTACTGTTGTATTATTTACTGTTGAGGAGCACTGGGTGATGTTTACTGGATTGTAGATTTTGATTAAGTGAAGATAACAATGGTTCACTGATTGTTTTTATACTGAGTTTGACTGAAGGAGACGGAAAAGACTCCTATGATGATTAACGGTGATTGTGACAAAACAGGTACTTATATGGATAAGCGGAAATAATTTCCAAGTTTGGTGTGTTTGAATTTACCGGGAAGTCGATGCTAACGCACCCTAGATGGAGCTCATGGGAAACATATGGTGAATCAAAACAATCAACAAAGTATATATTTTTTTTTGTGATTATTCTTTTGTTTTTTATATTTTTGTGCATCAATATTTTTATATTTTTAGTTTTTTATATATTCGTGCTCGTCTCAATATGAGGATTCTGATGATGGTCACTTTTTCAATTTTGGTCTTCGGATTCGTCTCGGGTGAGTGTTTTTATTTTTTTAATTATTGTTATTCTTTCTTTTTGATGGCTCCCTCGTTAGCTCCCTAAAAACTTAGAAGATTTATTGTAATAGTCAGATAGAAAATTTTTTTTTCTAGACGAATCTTTTTATGGAACCCGTGCCGCCATCTATCGTTTTTGATTTAAATCACTTTTTTGAAAATTTCTTTTAAGTTTGATTTTGATGTTTCTGGTGATTTACTAATGAAATTTTCGTCCTGTTTTTCTTTTTATTGTTAGTTTTTGCAGCCGATGAGGTTGATAACAATTCAGGTGGGTCTGGCCAGGTCGAAATGTCATCAACAACACCAGTTAATAATCGAGTCCCGAATAAGGATATGGCCAATAAGCAAGTTGATGGACATGACTCTGAGGATAGTTTTGATTTACCAACTACACCGGGGATAGTTCCAGATCCAAATGATGATGGTCAGTTATCAGTTGATATGAATGTTGCTGACGAAGGGAATGCTGATAGTAACGAAAATGGTGACGGTAATAATGTTGGTAATGATGATGGTAATAATGGTGGTAATGGTGATGGTAATAATGGCGGTAATGGTGATGGTAATGGTGGTAATGGTGATGGTAATAATGGTGGTGATGGTGATGGTAATGGTGGTAATGGTGATCGGACGAGCGATGGTTTTGAAAGTTGCGTAAGCTCGGCTTCCAGTAGTACAGTAGGGAGCATAAAAAATGGCAATTACTGTCCATGTGATTTCATGGTGAATACTCATTTGATTTTAATGAAAATTTCAGTTAATTAATTGTTACACATAAGGCTTCGATTATGGATACTAATTAGTAATCAGTGTGTTTACCTTTGGCCTCCAAACATGATCTTATCCGATCGGACATTGAATTAATTAGCGAAGTCAGATAATCATGACCTAAATCATTCCAAATTAACTCAACCTCATGTTTCAATTGATTCAAATTTGTAATATTTTTCTTAGCTAACTTGACCTTCATCAATCCCCAACAATTTTCGATCGGATTTAGATCAGGTGAGTTCGGAGGCCACTTTAGTACCGAAATCGCGTTTTTCGCAAGAAAATCCTTTGTAACGTTCGAACAGTGACAAGTGGCATTATCATGCTGAAAAATAAACTTATCTGGATACAAAGTATCCATGGTAGGGAGAAGAAATTGTTCCAAGGTCAGGATATATTCACCTGAGTCCATAGTTCGAGTACATAATTTCAAAGGTGATGTTCCTCGAATAGAAATTGCTCCCCAAACCATGAACTTTGGCGGGAATTTAGGTCGACCAATGATCGCCCTTTCTTTCCCTAGCATTAATTGTTTATTCGAGTACAACTGAAAAGACGACTCGTCCGAAAAAATGACCTTAGTCCAGTCAGTGTCACGATTATCCCGACAAAACTTAAGCCGCTCATCAATATGTTTTTCCGTTAATAACGGCTTAATTAATGGCCTAAAACGATCAATATTGATATTTTTAAGCTCACGGCCAATTGTAAATCGACTGACCTGTGGATGACCTAAGTCCTTTAGTCGATTAGCGATCCGACTGTTTGAGATTGTTGGGTTATTCTGGGCTATTCTTCCTAACACTCGTCTACCGCTTCCGTCCAACTTGTGTTTCCGACCTGATCCTGGTTTCCTTGTCAACACATTTTCTTTCTCTAGTCTCTTTTTCCACCTGTACACTGTTCGCAAGGGTGTTGAGGTCACATTAGCACAGCTTTGAACATTAGCCGAAATATTTTCTAAGAAAAACTGGACTTCGGTCCACTTCCGTTGTTTAGAATCGACTTTAGACATAATTAACACACGATTTAGGTAAAAGTTTTGATCTAATTTGCGCCAAAATTAACTAAACAGTTAATCTAATCCTTTGTCTTCGGGATATTTTAATTGCAATTAATTTAAACAAAAGGATTCTTATTTTTTCCCGGTCAAAAAGTAACCAAAAATTGCCATTTTTTATGCTCCCTACTGTAGTAGTAGTACCAGAAGAAAACGTAAGAAGTCACGAAAAGAGAGAAGGCAAGTTCCAAAAGCATCGATTCGTTATAATAGTGTTTTAGATGCAACTGCCGAGATAAAGGTACACAATTATTCCGTTCGTCCAGATGGTAAAGTTCTCGTTGGAGGCGATTATGGTAAATTTATAGCTGAGGTCGAAAGAATAACGAATTTTGATAGAGAAAAGACAGTCGAAATTTCGCCGGAGGAGCAAGTTACTTGGGCAAAAGATTCAAGTAACGAAAGGTAAAACCATAACTGAGCAGGAAAAGGAGGCCAAGGAGCGACTTGAGAAGTATCCAGTTTTATTTGGTGTATATATTAAAACCAATTTCACAAAGTTATGGATGTTAAAGGATCATGTGTATGGTAAAGATTATGGTGATGCGCGAAAATATGCGTGCATAATTTGATGTACTGAAGAGGAATTGAATCGTACTAGCATTCCGAAAACTTCGGTTCCAAAAAGGTTTCCTTGGAGAGATCTTATTTGCGTTAATCCTAAGCTCTGGACTAAGACATCTACAGGTCGGACGTCATTTAAGGTTCCACCAAATATAAGGAAAACGTGGGTTGAGGGAATGGTAGATGAACGGGATAAATCATTGGTTGGTAAGAGAGGAAGACCAAGGAAATCAACATCAACTACTCCTAGTGAGTAACTTATCAATAACAGTAAGTAAAATTGATTTTTAATATTATATACTTTTTGTTAGTAAATTCGAGTTTTGGCCACCTCGTCATACCTCGTTCTGATTATGGGTCATGATATATATTTTCTGAAAGGGCAAGGTCTGAACTATCTAATTTTATTTTTGTTGATTTTTAAATTGAAAAGGGGCGGAGTTATCGATGGTCAAAAAATGGTATCAAATTTAACTTTTTCTAATGAAAACTTTTTTTTTTTTTCTATGTTTAGGATACAAAAAAATGGAAGGAAAAAAAAAATCTCAAGTGGCCTTAATTCTTATTTTAATCATATATTTTACTTAACTTTAAATATTAATGTTTTTCTCTTTTTTTTTGTAATCTCTATTTTATTCTAATTACTACTAATTCTAATGTTTTAATTTTTTTTTTGTAATCTTTAATTTTATTATGACTTAATAATTTCGCATTGTAATAGCAAGTTCTGAACTTTGTATTTTCTAATAATAATTATCCTTCCATATTAAAAGCCTTGTTTTATTGAATGTTTTAATGATTGTGGTTTCCTCAATTATTGATAGACTTCTGATCGTTAGTTAACGGAAATTAATGATTACTCTTTTTACTACGGAAATTGATAATTCTAAATAAGGAGTTTTAATGATTATCCTGGCTTAATTGATTTTGTGAGGTATAAAAGGAAAATCTTCTTTTAATCAATTATCATTAAAAGTTATTCTTTTGTTAAGTTGAATTCAATTAATCAAACTCTTTTCTTTTGTGTTAATCTCTAGCTGGTTTATTATGGGTAAGTTTTTTTTTCTAATATTAAATCTTATTTTTATTTCTTTTTTTATATATAATTTTAATTTCTTATCTAGATAACGCTATTCGACTGTTGATTTCTACATTGGAATGGAACTCTGTCTGGGAAAAAGAACATGTTCCTATTGGTTTGCTCTTGCGAAAATGGACGGAATTAACTGGGTGTCGTTTTCCTGGTCAAGAGGAGGGGTATGAAGCGGTTGTAGATTACCTCAACTCGATCGAAGGGGTCGAAGTATATGAAAAATTTTACGTTCGACTCATTTGTCAATCATATGCTTGTGGAGTCATATATACTGCTAATACTGTCAAATCTTGGTGAGAAGTTTATTTCTCATTATTGATAATAAAAGAAGATTTGATTCCCTCTGATTCTTTTCTGTTATTAGACCCCTTTTTTTTTTACTGATGGTGACGATGATCATGATGATGATGATGATGATGATGATGATGAGGGTGATGAAGATGTTGATGTTGGTGACGATGTTGTTCAAAATTTGAATAAAATGACGGGTTTCTTAGTTGTTATTTCTGTTGAATCTTGTTCGGTATCAAGATTATTTAGTGGTAGTTCTTCTTTAGGATCTTTTGTATCATCTTTCGTTGATTTAGTTTTATATCGGCGAATAATAGTTTGGATTTTTGGGTAAATGTATCGGTAGATAAGGAAGATTATAATGATTAAAGTAATTAAGATTGAGATAATAAGTGATGTTAAATAAGTAGGATTGCTACTCAGAATAATACTGAATGTTTCGTTTTTGAATTCCAGTTTTTCTAGAAGTTGTGTGTGTACTTGACCGGCTGAAAAGTAATGATTTATGGCATCTAAATCGGATTGTTGAAAACCGGATTTATATTTGAAATGGAGTTTGAAAAACTCATGGGTTTCATTGTTGATAACAAG